CAAGAGTCTATCCTACCCCGTGAAGGCCACTAATACCTCCGCTGAGTGTGACTTGCAGTACAGTGCTGGGTAGCCTGCGCGGCTGGCACGGCAAGAAGTACATACAGACCATGTGGCTATCTGAGCGCAATTCCAAAGACAGTGGGAAGAGGAGCCAACAAGAACAACAGCCTAGCAAGAGCCACTGCCAAACAATGTGCGCAAGTGCTTGGTGCGGCAGCCAGAGCACAAGCTGTGTGTTGACGGCGATTGAAGCGGCCATGCACATTCTACCCGCGCTTCGCCACGAACACTTGAGCTCATCCAGCAGACCGCTGTTGGAAGCTTGTGTTACACCCTTGCAATGTTCAACTTTGGTCCCTAGAAGCTAGAAACAGCAAAACACTGACGACACTTGCTGGAGAAGTCAGCTTGCGTTTTTGCTGGGCGTGTGTCTCCGCTTCGTCCTATCTTGCATGGTCAATGCTATGCCCAACAGCCGCGCACTTGGTTCAAACCCGGTCGGTTGCATCCTCAGCTGCCTCATAGGATATTACGTGACTTTACACGCCTGCCTCTCCAAATCCAAAGTCCCTGGCTGTCTCACCAATAATTTTCCGCCGCTTTGCTTCTGAATGGATATTCGCAGTCTCAACCAGCCAATCTTCAGCCTGCAAAAGTCTCAGCACCGCCGGAGAGGAAACCGTGGCAATACTTTGAGCAATCAGGGAGTTTTGGAGGGTTTTGCAGGCCAGAGGTGAATCTCCGCAGCAGGCCCAAACGGAAAAGCTTAACGCTACTGATTTCGTGGTTGTCTACTGCACGCTTAGCCTGCATGTCCTCGCGACGTCGGGCGCTCGCGGTATGTAGTCGCAAGACGCGGCAGCAGCCTGGCACAGTACCGGTCGGAATCTAATTCGGAATTTCATGCTTTCTGCAGTCCGTAACTGCCCCAAAGATGCAGAGACCACCCCATGACAGGTAATACATTGCAATAGCTGGGCCATTTGCTGCTTGTGAGTTGGAGTAGCTTGCGCTCTTCTTCTTGCGTTGCGAAACTTGACGTTCTCCCTGGCTGTGTAAACAGAACCCACTGGTAGCTGTAGCAGCAAAGCTGATCAAAGTCGATTACGCGCTTTTACATGCAAGCAAGTTTGGGCCGGAGACTTGACAGCAAATCAGGACGTGTCCTGAATTGCGCGCTAGGAAGACCTAGCCGATCCACGCATAGAAAGAGCGGCTCACTTTCATGTCTCAAGACCCCTATAGTCCTCCTGAAGCGTACAGGCTGAAATCCAGTATGAGAGTCCGAAACACGGAGGTCAATGAGAATTTTCACATGCAAGCCGATGCATCCCTTCCTCTTACTTATTATTTTGTCGTAGCAACACCATGTTTTCCAGGCAGAGCTTCCTGTGGCAGTCATAGTGGAAAGGACTTGACTTTCCTGGAGGAGTGTGTTTATCTTCAAGGCAGCAGAAACCACTTCATCTACGGGAAGCCATCGGCCTCTCTGTCAGTAGAGGCTGAGACTGTGTGATACAGTCGTACATGTCTTGCGACCCTTACTCTCTTTGATGCAAGCGCTCAGCCTTAGGTAGGCCCTGCCCATCTCGATTGCGCAGGGACAATGGACCGACATCAGGGAAAGCCCACAGCTTGCCACTGACGCTTATCAACTTGTTGGCTTAATAGATTGTAAAGGGGCATCTGCGCTGCTGCTCTTGTTTTCTTAGATGTTTGCGTGCAAACCTAAACCTCTGAAGATCTCCCGAGTCTCGTTGAAATCTTGATATTTGCTGGGAAGCCAAACTGCAGACTCACACGCTCAATGAAAGAGCTTCGCTGCCATGTCAAAGCAATGAAAACAAGGTAAGCTGTGTGAGACATTATAGCTAGCTGGAAGCCCATAAGCACTGGACGGCCCTGCATGTGCCCTACAAATCGCGGGCGCTAGCAACAATCACCGCTGCTCCTGTCTCGTTTAGCTTAACTGTGATCATGCATGCAGCAAGGCGCAGGGTCGAATAAAATAGAACGCCAGTCATGCAAGCTACGTTTCAAGTCCTGACTTATTCAATGTGGACAGTATCTGCGAACCACACTTTTTGACGCGAGATCACGGGCAAGGGCGAATCGGTCGAATAAGTAGGATGTGCAGGGTGCTCAAGCCTTGCACACACCTGCCGCAGAAAGCACCTGGTAGTTGGTTCCTGCATGTTTTGGACAGGGGCTTGATTGCCTTTTTTTTGCAGCAGCTTCGACTCCAGTAACACATCGAGCTTGGGATTAAATTTGGAGGGCTAAAATTGTGACCGTGTCGTTTGTATAGCAAGACTGGACGCAGTGAACTTACCGTTCAAGTCTTTGCGCCTTTGACACTTCTCTTTCACCTGTATCTGGCGCCACATTGCTGAGTGCATCTGAGTACAATCCTCAGCCTGCAGGGTGTGTGCGGCGTCTCTTGCTGAGTCCCTTGGGTTTCCAGCGCGGTTCCTGGATTGAATACATGCGAGGGTTGTTGCTGTAGTACGCCCTGTCAATGGAGGAGCTGCACTGGATTTTGCAATTGCATCCTCTTGACCCCACTGGCTGCCAATTTCCACCATGTAGCTAAAACCCGTGAAGAAGTTAAATCCAAATGACTGCGAAACGGCTGCAGGAACTCAAGAAAATGACTATTGCGAAACAAACCTATGGAATATGGAATCACGCGCGCTACAAGGGCCTGGACAGAGCAACACTTACACCCTGTAAACAAGAGGCAAACAAGGTCGGGTGCACGACCTCAAAGCGGCTTCTTGGGTTCAGGGTTAAAGCAACGATATCTGCTGACGTCACTAATGTAAAGATTTCTCTTCACGAATTGCTCTAGTAATGGTACTAGTAGCAGTTCATTCTGTAAGAACCTCAGGCTTTATGACAATAGCGAACCGAAGCAGCCAGTGGTTTGCACATCTGTGAGGAGATCAGTGGGATCAGCGGGCCTATGGACTCGGGATCTTGCCTGAAGGAACTGTGCTGCTGCATGTTGCCGCTATGATGCACAGTCGCCGTGTTTGCCGCGTAGCCACAGGGAAAGCAGTGAGCAGGACGTGGGTTTCCAGCTCTGGTTCGTGGCAGTCAGGCTAGTTTCTGCCATTTGTTTCTGCATATGGTCGGAAACCAGAGGCGCGGATGCTTCCCCGTCGTAAAGCTGACGCCAGCATGCCTGCGCACAAGAACTCCCGCTGACAACCTCAGCCTCTGAACCTGAAGCACTGTCGAGGTGCATGTAAAATGCAACGGACTGGTTTTGCACAAAGGAAGTAGGCAGCGTGCCGGGAGATGTTCCTTTGCGCTTGCATGAATGCAGCAGCCCAACACTTTCCTGCTCACGCTTTTCGGGCTTCCAAATCTAGCATGTCTGTCTTAACTAATTTGGACTTAGGACGATGTTCAGGCTTATCCCATATGTTACATATGTTCCCTTCACCGTCCAGAAATCAGGCCAAGCTCCATGTTTAGTGACTTGCCTTGTTTCATGTGGGGCAAACTTCACTCAACACTGCATACGAGAGGATACCTTCCAGTCTGGAGATCGTTTCACTTCAGGAGAACGCAAATTACAAGAGCAAAGTCTTATACATCTTAGTGGCTTTGGTGAACTGACTGTCGCCTGGACATGAGTCGTCGTGACCTAGTTCTTTCCCGCTTGTGTGCGTTTCTTCTTGTGGGAATGGCTTGAATGCGACTTTCTTTAGGAAGTGTGGGGCTACAACAAAGGCGGCCCATGTGGGAGTTTCTGCAATCAGCTGTCCCCAGATATGGGAGTTTAACTGGCGTGCTTCTGCAAGAACTACAGGCCGATGAGAGTACTGGTAGATGTCCACTCCCGTGACAGCTGATCCTCAGAATGCCCCAACTAAGCCCTGTCGCCAGCTGCCAGGGCGGCTCTCCACTGACACCTTTCTGCTCAGGTCACCTGGCAAGATTTGCCCAGCAGATCTGATTCCAACAAAATTCAACAAGGCCTCTTCTGGCAATTCCAAAGTAGAACTGACATCCGAACCCCAGCACATAGCAACCCAGCTCTCTCTTTCTCAAAAAAGCACCTTGGCGCAACCTCGAGGAACCCCTGCGCCTCTGATACAACTTGAGTTTGATTCTTGCGCTGAAGCTCTTGGACAAGAAAACCCTATCATGAATCTAATGTGACGGCTTCCGTGCTGGAACCTCGTAGCGTCGTAGCGTCGCCTCATGCCTTGCCGCCGCCTGGCCAAGAAAAGCTGTGACAAGTTTTTCCAGGACATGGGGTTGGGAACCCCCGTGTTTTGCTTTGCTGGCTGGCTGTAGCGAGATGGTGGGGAAACTTTGAGGTGTCAACCTCGTAGATGTAAAATTCTACAAATATGGAAGTCAAACGTGAAGAATTCAACGGATAATGCGTGGTACTTCTCGAGCAGCATCCCACATCTTGGACCGAAACCATTTGGCCCAGCAGTTCCTTGGCTCCTAGACCTGGAGGCAGACTCGGTCAGGTCCCGGTTTCAGGCTTGACTCCCATGCTTCTCATCTGAGGAAACATGTGGCGCGCAAACTGATGCTTGTGTGCCCTGCAAACCTGGGATACTGAGGCTGGTAGCTTGAATCCTGGGAGCAGAATCTTTTCCCATGCCATTTCAGCCAGCGCGGGCGTTTACGCAGCAAACGACATGAGACAGCAAATGAGCGATAGACCTCACCATGATAGCTGTTCACATGGAAGCCTTCAGTATATACATGCAGGAATATGTTTCTGTGTGCCGAGACTTCACGTCTCGATTCGCGCACTCTCTTACGGTTCATCCAACCTACTTGTGTTTTTTTTACTAAGCTTGCCCCTACATTGCATGTACACACGGGCCTAGTCAGAAGGCCTCCATACTTGCATTGCAAGTGGACCACTCCGCTAATCAGCACGAGCTCAGATATGGACTTGTTATGCTTGTCGTCTGGGCTGTATTGTATGTGACTCATCTGTTGACTTGTTACATCTTTGCTCAGAACTTGTGCGCGATCTTGGAGAAGGCGAAGGCCGCGCCTGCAGGGGCTGAGGTCGAGGGGAATGACAAGAGGCGTTCTGCTGTCAACGTGCACGCGCAATACATCAAAAACCTCCTGATGCGTCAGCCCTCTGAAACGCAGGCTCCGTCTCCGTCTCTCGCTCCCGTTTCTTGCTCTCCCGCTCACTCAGTCTCCATGTCTGGCTGTCTGTCCGTCTGCCACTTAGAGTGAGATTTAAAGCTATTGCTGCTGCTGTATGCTGTTGAGGTGCTGACAGTGCGGATAACATGTTAAATTTTCTACGGCAACATCCTCAGCCTAGGATTGCAGTGTGGAAGGATTCATCAGTTGACTTGTGGCCGGGACACCCAACTGCGGCTTGACTTTGTGAATGCAAAATGTTGTCACCTTCGTCCAAATGTGAGCCCGTTTTGCTTCAGCATGATAGAGTAGCGTTCCCACATCTGATTCCAGCAGCAGGGAGTTCTCATGGTGCAACTCCACAACCATCCAAAAAACCTTATAGTACTCGAGTCAAGAACACGTGGCACTGTAGCTTTCACTATCTTCCCCGTCCTGTGCCTGCCAACACTTTGCAAATAGTTGCCTGCGAACTCCTGCGCACATGCTGCGCCTCCCACGCAAAGCAGGTTGAAGACGAAGTGGCCAAAGACTGCCATCAGCGCGTAGGACAGGCCTGCCGTGAGATAGACTGCCAGACATATCTGCGATCACCAAGTGGCTCGCATCCTTGATGTAATTCGCCATACGTTTGCCCAAGCTCTACCCTCAACAGTATGTTCTCAACTTGGAATACAACCATAAGCCAGGCATTCCTCCTAGCGACGCTGATGCACACGCAAGCCTGAGGCTTTGTAGCTCATCGTTTCTGCCACGGGGTCCTTGAAAGGGGTCTGAGGTTAAAGTGTGCTGCTTGGGTCCGCTATGACTTGGGAAATGCTACATCGCAACGCCATGGAGAGTCTCAGTTGCTGTTGGGCTCCACCTACTATATATTATGACAAATGTATGGGCTCTTGCTTGGCGCGGTCACGGTGATCTTCAGAAGGCCCCATGTCTTTGTGACTTCAAAACAGCTCGCAAGCAGTGACCCACCACACTTACAAGTACCTCTTGCAGCCTGTCCTGCATCCAGTAGAAAAAGAGAGGATGATTGGCCTTGTCTGACGCGCAATGATGGTGCACAACAGATTAACTGCATGGCAAATGTATTGCGGTGGAGAGGGTGCTGCATTACACCTTTGCTGTGCATATGGGCGGTAGCTTGCATGACCTACGTATGCCCGTTCAGTGGTCCATCCACGCTCAAGCCACTTCGTTCAGGATTATGTGCTTTCAAAGGCTGGAGGCTTGGGAGCCGCCATCATCGCGCAACTGAATCTGGTCTTGTCCAGCTCAAAAACGGCTCAATCCATGTTTTCCAGTCAAGATGTGCAACCTCGGCGCCCTGATGTTGTAGGCAGCCTCTGCCTGCTGCACAGCTAGGCGGAAGAAAGGCCTCTCAGCGCTCAAAAGCAAGGATGTCGGATGAGATGTGGCCCCTGCTGCAACTTGACCACAGGTGCATGAATCTGATGATGGGTACCTCCTGCTCCATAGGCTGCGTATGCCTGACTGCCCTTTGCCATGCATGTTGCATGCTGGCGCGGAATCCGCTAATGTTGCATTCCAGGCTATGACTTACTACTTCCAATGTTAAAAAGCTGGAGCCTCTACTAGCAGTATCCCAGCGAGCTGGGCGAGAAAAAGCACCTATAGGCATCAACTCCTAATCTCTCCGGCCCCCCCTGCTCTAATGCAGCAAGGTTGAGGACACTTGCAATTCGAAAGGGTCAAGCGAGCTGCCTCTGATCGTCACGCATCAGGCGAAGGCCGGCGCGGGCCTTCGGATTTTTGTACCTCAGCCCAATCCCGAACATGCGATGCAGCCGTCAGACTTGTCTCAGGACAAGTTTGAAAACACCTGCACTCTGTCTTGTCTGCAAAGTGCTGGGAACATGACGTCGCATGACAATGCCATTGCAACTGCGTGAACTCTGTGCCGAAATGCGCAGAGGCGTGAGTGTCCAGCATTGTAACAGAACAGACTGCTTAGGCGTGTGAACATCGAGAGAAACTATGATTTTGAGGCAGCGTCTGAACGAGCTTTCCTCTTATGTTTGGCTCGAATCTTCAAAAACATGCTTTTCGTGTTGATGTGGCTTCTTGCACTTACTTTTCAGCCTGAACACTCACCGCAGCGAAACTCTCCTTGAGCTCCACCTCAAGGAAGCGGATGATATACTCTTGCCAATGAATACAGGACAGTAGTTGGTGCCCTAAGTTGTGGTCTCGGCTGGCTGAGGGAATACCAAATACCCATAAGACGATCGTGAGGCTGGATCTGTTTAGCAAACTGCGGCCAGGGGGTTCTGTGGGCGGCGCTCGTGTTGTCTAGACGTATATTTCCATACCCGGCACGTGCACGAAGCTAATACCCACACTGCTCCTGCTGCTGTTGCACCGTCGGATGACCATTCCAGTTCTGAAAACAACTCTTTGGCGAATGCTAGGGGCTCTAGTAACGATGCCCTTGGACCAGTTCCCATCCAGCCAGCCCCGGAGGCTTGGCCGAGTCTCAAATATGCATCGCAATCCCATGCCCTCCCAGGCCGAGCCACCACAGCAGTTTACGCCAACCGCCCAGAAGTCGTATGATGAAAGCGGTGCATCTCCACTAGTAATGGGAGCCACGCAGTACCTGCAGGGACCGGATGAAGCGAATCGTTGGAAGGCTTCATTCCAGCATTTGCAGCTTCCTTCCGTTTTTTGCAGCTGCATGTTTATCTATAGCCGCATATGCCAGGGCACGTAACGCGGAATCAGAAATCAAGCCGGCAAGTCTTAGACATGAACCATTGACAAGTTTCAGGGGCCGGCCTGTCCAAGTTCTTGAACGACATGGATTTGTGCAGATCCAGCATGGCTCCTCAGTCCATCCAGAAAGGCTCAGCATACTGTATTTAGGTGGTTGTGTCTGTAGCCTGGATCACAAGACATTTCTGGCGAGTACAGCGGAGGCTGTTATGTAAAGTCATGGGCTCGTTCTGCTATTCCCTTGCTCGATATTGCTCGATATGATTGCCGCTGAGCGGTGTTCGCTAACGTGGCCATGGCGTGGTTCCCGGGCTTCTAGGCTTGAATGTACGTTCAGCTGGACCAACACCACAACAATTGCATGCGTGCAAACAAAGTTCACCCATATTCGGAAGATTCAAGCTTGGGGTCTTGGCTGCACCAGTCGAATTTGTTCCCTCCACGATTTGAATCGGTCCTGGTTCTAGATCAATGGTGCTAATCCTGGACGCTAGCCTACAAACTGTGGCCTGCTCTGTCATGATCCTTTTCCGACAATGTGCTGGCAAGCTAGTTCCGCGGGTTCCCAGAGGCCAGAAGGCGTCAAGACAGAGGGATGTCACTCCAAACACGGTCAAGAGAATTTTCGCGATCTCATTCATGGAATCACGGCTCTCCAATCCAAAGGTCTGTGCATGCCGAAAAATGCATCACATCACACCGGCTAACCCCAGGAGCAGGAGCAAGGCCCCAATTGAACTTGTATCCCGAGAGACGTTGAACTTGCCGCGCTGAGTTCCCAATGTCGAGGTGTCTTTCGCAATAATACCAATGAGAGACACTGTGGTCCAAACTGCTTGTGGAGGCCCTATTTTCGAGTGCGGTAAATACCTCGTGGGGTGGCGTGGGGTGGGGTTGGGGGGGAAAACAGCTGGTCCACATGAGAAGCCTGCGAGGCGCCCAGAGCTGCCGGAGAAAAAGCGTCATGAACGTAATAAGGACAGTAGTACCCTTAGTAGTGGCATGTTGCACGCTCTGCACGCTGTCCTCCTCCTCCTGCTACTACTACTGCTGCTACTACTGCTGCTACTACTACTGCTGCTACTACTGCTGCTGCTACTAGTACTACTACTACTACTGCTGCTACTACTACTACTACTACTACTACTAATACAGTTTCTCTTCTT